TTGCGTCGCGTTACCAAAACGTAGAGCAGAACCTCCCTAGTACATGCATGCGTGTACTGCTAGCCACGGCTGCATGGCCTGCGCCCTGGGGCTGCTAGACGTGCGACCGGATTTCCATGTCCATGCCAATACATGTGGATGTCTGTATAAGGACACGAGACACATCACGAGTGTATATGTCGAGAAGGGGATATGATGATGATGATATGAAATAGGGTTTACCGGGTGTTAGCGGATGTCGTGAGTTCCCTTCAGGAACGGACACGATAATTAATTTTTTAATTTTTTATCTGAAATAGCATACCTACCACCCCAGGTACCCCATGAATCAATAAAATACACTGATCTGGACTCTAAATTTCCAAAATATTTTTGCGCAGCCCCCCCCCCCCCCACGAATAAACTGTGCTTCAGATGGCTGACCGTACCACACTAAAATACCTTCCTATGCCTGTGGAGAGAGAGAGAGAGAGAGAGAGAGAGAAAGAAAGAGAGAGAGAGAAAGAAAGAAAGAGAGAGAGAGAGAGAGAGAGAGAGAGAGAGAGAGAGAGAGAGAGAGAGAGAGAGAGAGAGAGAGAGAGAGAAAGAGAAAGATAGAGAGAGAGAGAGAGAGAGAGAGAGAGAGAGAGAGAGAGAGAGAGAGAGAGAGAGAGAGAGAGAGAGAGAGAGAGAGAGAGAGAGAGAGAGAGAGAGAGAGAGAAGAGAGAGAGAGAGAGAGAGAGAGAGAGAGAGAGAGAGAGAGAGAGAGAGAGAGAGAGAGAGAGAGAGAGAGAGAGAGAGAGAGAGAGAGAGAGAGAGAGAGAGAGAGAGAGAGAGAGAGAGAGAGAGAGAGAGAGAGAGAGAGAGAGAGAGAGAGAGAGATGTAGAGATTCGCCAAGCAAAGTGACAACTTACGAGTATGACATTGGCTAGCTGGTCGCTTCACGGCCATGATTGTTGTCGGTAGAGCTGGTGGCATGGGTGGTGGTGGTCGTAGTGCTCCGCGTGTCATACCAGACTGCATGCCGGCTGCCACTGCTGGCCCCATCCGTGGCTGTCCCATCACCTTGCCAACACCACCACCATCACCACCTCCACTTTGCTGCTGCTGGTGTGAGGCAATGTTCTGCAGGATAGTCAGCATGGCGTGGGCGTTACTCTGACCCGACGCTCCCTGCACGCCCGACTGCGCTGCTGCTGCTGCTGGTGGTGGTGGGCCGGTGCCATGGAAACCCATCCCAATCCCGTTGTCGTGGTGATTTCCCCCGCCACCACCACCACCACCACTGCCCCCAGCCCCGTTGCGCTGGTGGTGCGGGTTGTGCGTGTGGTGTTGACGATCTCCATTAGAACGGCTAGCATTGTCCACAGGAGTGTGACCCATCTAAGTGCCGCATTGTACAAGAACATTGCGCAACAACACAAAATTCATTAATGCAATGTGACGTGAATAGTGAATGCATAATATAACGCTAGGCGAGGCGAAATCTGAACCAACGTGCAAAGCTGGCGTCCTGAACCAGCACCCATTACCCCTCTCTCTCTCTCTCTCTCTCTCTCTCTCTCTCTCTCTCTCTCTCTCTCTCTCTCTCTCTTTTACTCCCTCCCTTCCCGCTCACTCTCGGTGCGTAAAGGTAGCCATGCAGTCGAGATCTCAGGTCGGCAGAGCTTCCCAAACGTTATGACCACTGCCAGGATTAATGTTGTGCGTACTTCCCTAGCTACAACCCCAGGTTTGGCATTTAAGTGGGGTAAAAAGTTTTTTTTTTAAAACCTCACTGTACACTTGAGCGTCTCTTATCCGGGCAGCTTGGGACCGGGCACTGCCCGTATCTCAGATGTGCCTGTATCTCAGATTTGCCTGTATCTTAGATTTGCCCGTATCTCAGATTCGCCCGTATCTCAAAATGAATTTACTGATGAAAACATGCACTCTGGGAGGGACTTCCCCCAAACGCAACTGTACACAATCTATCACACAGTAACACCTGCCCTAAATTCCCAGCACTCATACCGCCATGGTTGTCATGACTACAATTTCACAACTACAACGTACGTTGTGCTAAGGGAAAAGTCAGCTTGCACGGTCCCAAGTTCGGAAAGGTTTGCGTTTAACGTAGCTTTTTTTCGCAGTATCCAACTGAAAACATAAAATGAGGAAGGTTTCACATCGCAAACCGGGGCAATTCCTGAAAATGAAAAATTAACATGCTCATTTCGTTGGATAGAGGCTGTACGAATACGTCATAAGTTGAGAATTTGAGATGCTTTGGCTAAGCCACGGCACAGCCATACACTACAGTCCATTCATTGGAAACTGGCACCCTAACTTTTTGATGTCTCCTGCACATAGTTGTAGATGTCGTGAAAACAACAGTACATCCTGCATTGTGTGGCCCGTGCAATTACTCCTTGCCACATTTGAGGCCAGAAAAGTCGAAGAACAGGGAAATAGAAATGCAGCCAGGCTTTACAAAATTGGGACAGGTATACCATAGTAAAATGTATGGAGGAGGAGATCCAAAACCCAGATTTTTGAGATTTAAGTGGGTTTTTGATCCTCAATTCGGCCCAAATCCGACTTTCAAAAGCCAGCTTGACAGTTTCCGATGAATGGACTGTAGATAAAGGGAATGCGCCGACTCCCGCTGTATACCTAGCATCCACCACTACAGTCGTCTCCACTTATAACAAACTCGCATATAGTAAATTTCATGATACAGCGAATCCTTGTCCATGCCCCTGTTTGAACCCATACAGAAATTTACCCTTTATCGCGAACAGGTTTCGTCTGTAACGAACCAAATCGTGTAGGGCCGCATGTAAACCAAGTGCGCTTATACTGTCGTGGGCCACTCGCAAGTCATGACTTGCTGCCTGTGTTGTGTGAGTGCATTTCTGTTATAACGAACTGCGGCTTCTAGTATAAAGCACTGATTCTCCTGCACAATGGTGTTCGTTTTAATTATCAGGAGTCGAATGTTGTTTGTTTGTTGTTTGTATTCTTTATTTAGATGTAAATGGGAATCTGCTAGTTCACCACTATGACATCGTGTTGTAAACCCAGCGGCGTCGCACACGGTATGGTCACAACGGTATTGACCGTACCACTATTTGCCCCAAGTACCCCGTGATTCAATAAAACGCACTGATTTGGGCTCTAAATTTCCAAAATGTTCGGCTCAGCCACCCGTCCCCCACGAGTAAATTGTACTTCAGGTGGCTGACCATACCACACTAAATTACCTTCCGACGCCCCTGAAACCCTTGACATATTCCTGTTAGAATAATAATTGCTCTTACCTCCTCTGATACTCGGTCACTGGGACTTTTCGTGGCTGCTTGGCTCGGCGATGTGCAGGCAATGACGTAACCGTTAGTCGTTACTTTAGGGTGGCTTCCCACTCACTCACTGCCCGCCTCCGCGGCAACTGTACTGCTGTGTTGCTGTCGGCTAGGCTACTGCCGGCGAGTCTACGCACCAAGAAGTGCGCTGGGAATCAGTCCGGTTGAGTAGGCACACGCGCACACACCCCCAGCGGCCGGTCGCTGCGGAGAGAATCTCCAGTTGTTGTGTGTACTGTTACGTGTATTTGCAGTGGGAGTCAAGGCAGGCGTGCGCGTCACGTACGACTACAGGCGGCTCTGCGTCCGATCACCACTAGGCAATGAGGATAACCCAATCGACAATCCGAACTTAGTTAGTGTGAGCAGCACAAGCGCTCAATCACGGACCACGCAACGCGGAACCGGCTAAAATCGAGGGGAAGCTTCGACGGCAAGCGGACAATGAAAGGTACATGTACCTGGGACAGTCTCACTCTCCTGGCCTGTGCCTCGATGCAGTGTCAGCATTTCAAAATCAGAAAGTCTCCAAACTGTCCTAGGGAAGAATCGCCACGCGATACCAAAAGGCAAAACGTCTTTGAAAGCGCTCGCTTTCATGCGATGAAGACTGGTCGGCCGCTACCTGCTGGCCGAAAACATTTCATTGAACCTTGCACGCAGCGCCGTCAACATA